GCCCCCTACTCCAAAAAGTTATTACATATAATCTATTTTCCAATTTGTTAACAACAATGGCGCTTGTTATACTTTGGCCGGAAGGTAACAATATACATACATTTTACTTCAGAAATGAATGAAAAATAAAGAAAAATTGAACTTAAAGTACAGAAATAACTTCTGGCAAAACGGAAAACCACAGGCATCTTAAATCGCCTGGAAATGGTTATTATTATTATTTTTTTAAATTTTTTCTTTAATTTTTTTTTTTTTTAATTGCAATACTTTCTTTATCCGCAAGGGGAGCGAGAAAGTAACAAGCATAAAAAAACCAAGCGGGCATCGCATCATATTCACAATGATATATCAACTGGACGTATTTTTGCCAAACGGAACTATGTGTATTAAGACATGAGCCCTGAGACTCATATGAATATATGCATCACAGGGCTCACGCCATAATGCCTATAGTTTCGTTTGGCAGAAATACGTCCAACTTACTTCCCAGTAGATAATATTCACTTTATTTTGAACGTGACAATCGACAACCTTGGTTGAGATACCTATTCAAATGAGGCGTGTTTTTGGCGCTGGATCCCAGTGGATACAGCCGACGCGCTTATTATAAATATTTATATGTGCGTGCAACACTGGAGCAGGAATGTAACCAAACAACGCTTATAGGGGCCTCAGAGAGGACGACTCGGCATTCATCTTAGGATTCGATCTCGAGGAAAATTCTCATCTCATGATGCGCTGCTGGCCCCAGATTCAAGAAGAAATATCTCGTCACTCTCGTTTTTATGGGGCTCTTCTCCACCCACGTCTGGATTGCAAGTTTCAAATAGACCTTTCAATGCCTTTTTCAGTCCTCTCCTTTGCTAGCGATGTAAGTTGCGCTGTTGCGCTACCCAAGTAACATTTTTCAACGGAAAAATCGCGATAAGTATTTTGAAATTAAGTTGCGATTTTTCAAGATTTTTTCGCGATAAAATCGCTAAGATCATCAACATCTGAGCGATTGTCCGCAATTTTGCCGCTATTTAGTCGAAATTTTACCTTAGTTTATCACGAGTTTTTGTTCGAAAGCATTGCAATAAATTTCTGTCGATGAAATCGCGATTTTATTGCAAATATATGCGATGAAATCGCAATTCATCGCAATTTTTTTCCCCGATTACATTGCAATAAATCGACGTCGACAAAATGGCGATACATTCACCGATCGAATCGCAATCACTACTACTTGGGTCCTTAATACGTCGTTTCCTTCAGGAGAGAACGTAACTAATGTTGAAACAATCAATGTTGCCATTTCCCCTCGCAAAATGCATTCTTACCTGGAGGATCTCGGGCATTTCTAACTGAAAATGTCACCGACTTTTCTTGTATTCTCATGGAAAAATCTGATTTATTGGCAAAATTAGCACAGGTACATTTTTGTATGAAAGTGAAATGTTCGAGTCAATTTTGCAACCTTGGGATTGAAGCACGTTCCTTCATTCGAAAAACGATAAATAGATAAGCCTAGAAGCCTCTTTAAAGCATCCACCAGGCTGATTATTGAAATTGATAGGCAAAGCTATCGACTTAGGAGACAAATTCCAAATGGAGTGATCCAGCGAGGAAAGGCGAAAACATCTCCCATTTCCTGAGAGAGTAACTATAGTAATTTCTAATTTGTTCGTCTTTGACTGCGAGACCCCGCCTGCCGAGACCGCGCCTTTGAGTCTAGTTTAGAGAGAAACCAAACACGCATTTTGGCCTGGAGCGGCGCGGCGCAGAGAGCAATGATGACGAGGACTTGAGATGGAAAGGAGAAGCCCGCGGCGCGCCGGTCAGCATGACACACATATTAGGGCCTACAAGACTCCATGAATACTTCACGCATTGCGTCAAACGTAGTGTGGTCAGCAGCGGTTGGCGTGAAACTCATAGTGCCTACAAGACTGCATGAATACTTTACGCAATACGTCAAAAACAGTGCGATCAGCGTGAAACGCATAGCGCCTACAAGACTGTAGGAATACTTTACGCATTGCGCCAAACACAGACATTCATGTTTATTCTTTCATCATTTTTTCGTCCTTTTCTTTAAAATGAAAGGCCTCGTCCACACAGAAACATTTTTACGGAACTTAATTTTCGTGCAAAGTTTCGTGAACTTGTGCTAGTGTTGACAGGGCTTTCACAAAAAATGTGCCCAACACGAGTTAACGCGTCTTATGCACCCCTCCTCTTCCGGCATGTTCTCTTAATGGTTTGTATCGATGTTTCAAAACGAATGAGAAGGGGCGGCAAAATGCAGACGGCCCTTGGGCGGCAAGTAGGTACCTAAAGCCGGCCCTGGCTCAGGTAATGTATGCCTATCAAAATAAAATAAGATAGAAAAGAATAATAATTACATTCCTAACGATGTGTAGTGTGAATGTTCGTTTAAATATTGGTGAGGAGAAGAAACACGGATTTCATTTGGAAGGTAAAAAGATCGACGAGACGAAAGGAAAGATCCCGATGGCCGACAAAATATTTCTCCCTCCCCAAAATAAAAACAAAGAAAATTAGATCTTTCCTAAGTGAAGCAATTGATCAGTGAACCCACAATGTCTCATCACATCTCGGAAAAATCACGACAGTTTCTAAAATGTTCACATTGATTTACCCACTAAAAATAGGCAGTGGAAACCTTGCAACGTCGCAAATGAAATTTTTAATGTCTTTTACCAGACCGTCGATTAAGAGAAAAACATAACTGCGCACGCACTACACAGTAATTTCAGCGGTAATCGTCATCTTTCATCACCAAGGCGAAGCGATATCATTGAAGGCGCGCTGAGCAACTATTGCGCCATGGAAGTATTGCACAGTATCAGACGAAATTGAAGGCGCTTTGACCACCGTTTAGAGTCCGACTCTGCACAGTCTCGGCAAACAACACAGCAGCAGGTCCATTGCGAGCACAACTTCTGTGTAGTATATAGTATGCTGCCGTGTTAAGGAAGAACGCTGTATGAACATTCGAGAGTTGCCAAATTTCCTTCGATCAAATGTTCATTTTTTGAGGAAAGTTATGAATATTTTTCCTTGAAATTTTCAGGAACTGTAGGTGAAATTGCGAGAAAAAGGATCTGAAAAATTGAAAAGAAAATATTCAGAAGTTTATCAGGAAATTCGTGTTTTATTAAAGGAAATTTGGTAACGCCTGGAGGTTCATACGACGTTTTTTCTTAGCACGGCAGTATGTTGCTTGTTCTTCGTGCACGTGCAGTGGAAATCTGCCGAAATCGAAGAAGCGGGTTGACTGTTTTCTCATATTTTTAAAATGAAAGACTGACGCACAATACAGATTAAAATGATTCACTTGCAGGGAATCTATCTGTCCCAGCAAAAGAGTCAGTCCCACATAATAGAGATGTTATCCCAAAACTGCAAATGTTTCCTTCTGTGTAAGTGATTCGCGGCAACCTTAAGATTTTAAAAGCAGTTAATGAAGAAACTGTTAAAATGTACGAAGTAGAAAACTCTTTTTGGGTGGTTTTTTTTCTAGATTAAAATTTATGAGAAGTAAAACGTATGTAAGAAAAATTATTAAAATTCCTTCAAGATCTCAAAACGTCAACCGTATTGTAGATTTTTAACCAAACGTTTAAAAAGAGTGATACAGCTCTCTAAAAATGTATGACGGTAAGACTTTTTCCCGTGAACTTTACCAAACACACATTGCACTTGGAAAATGCCGCGAGCAGGGTTCTTTCGTGGTAAATTGTGTCACGTTTTTCAAGAGTTTCTAAGAAGAGTTTTTCAATATTCACTATCAATAAAGTGATAAATATACTCAGTCCTGTTAGTGAAGAAGAACATTTTTGCCGTCACTAGTGTGTGCAGCCAGGACGCAAGTCGAATGTGGCAACCACCATATCCGAGGAATTTTTATAGCCGTTTAATGGAGTTCCTCAAAAGAGCCTCCTAAAATTTCGCCCCTTTTTCGGTATTCGATTCGACCATCGAACCAAGGTTTAAGTGGAAGCTTATAATAACAGAAAACTCAGGAAAAAATTTCAAGATGAGTATAGGAACCGTTTTCGAGTTATGGGGTGGGGGGGGGGCAAAGGGGTCAAACTCCGGCCTTATTTTTCGCTATTTTCTTGTTGAATTGATGTGTCTACGGGGTTGTTATCGTTGTTTACACATGTTATACACACCGGTTCCTACGTATTTTTACACGCAAAATCGAGTTTTAATGTTGACGAGTCGGACGATCGGTTATATCGATTTTTTAAGATTCTTTACGGAAAATCGACGATTTTTTGCGATTGAAATTGTTCATTTTTG